AAACACTTCAATTTTCCAATTTAGTCTCTTTTCAGGAGTGGAAATGTTTTATTGAAAGTAGTACAAAAACCAAATACGTTAAAGTCGAGAACTTTTCCGCAAAGACTCACAAAACAATGAAGTTTCTCTGTCATCGGTCAGGCTGCTTTAATTCTGAAAGCAAAGGAAAAAGGCACTTAAAAATGAAAGGCAGTATAAAAATTGGTGGATTTTGCCCAGCAGTCTCACGGTTGTGGTTGATTTGGCAGAAAAAGTTGAAGTCAATTTTATAAAAACACACATTGGACATCAAACTGATATTGGACAGTTATTTCCAAGTCTATCTGAACGTCAGTTTATTGCTGATATTTGATTGTGGTAATTATTTTTATTATACAACAACATAACAAATAACAACAACTATGATCTATAATAATAATAAGTGACAAGCAGACAAGCCCTCCCTCACTTGTTGCCAACTCACAATAAGATAGTATTTATAATATGTAAAATAATAAAACTGTGTATTTAAAACAACTAAACATTACTTCTTGTTTGAGTGAACAATCCGAGAACGTTTCGTGATATGAGAAATGAGAACTGTTACATTCAAATATGTACATAATTTAAATGACGCGCCACACACATACTCAAGTGCGATTGGATTGGTCAGGATTATCCTGACCTGCCAACGGCTAGACGCTAGTACACAAATATATCTATGCGACTGGTACAATTCGAATTGATCTTTTTTTAAATCCGCTGTTATTCGATGAGGATTATAATGAAAAAAAATGCTTGTGGTACTTTTAAAGAATTTTTAAGTGGTGATTAAAAAGTCCTAATGACCAAATACTATGATAATAAATATATTTCGACGTCTTTTTGAGGGGTTAATTCCACAGTGGATAATTCTCCAAACTCATCGTTTTCTTAAAGCGAAATTTTTTTGAATTGAGACAAATTGCTAAAGTACGTTTGGATATAGTGAATATACAGGAACATGATAAATTCTTTGCGTTAAATGTAACTTACACTCATGTTCAAATAAAAAACAACAATAATTGTTACAAGTTGTGTTATCCGCTGGTCGGAGCTAGTAATTCGGTATTTTTAAATATAAATCAATTTACAAATTATTTTGTAGTTCAACTATTATCCGCTAGTCAGCCTCAGTAATTTTTTGAAATACAAATTGAATCTTACAAAAAAGCGTTTTGCTGTAACAATTAAGCCAACGAATATCTTGTCTAACGTTACGACAGAGGATATCGATTGATTCAATTTTGCTAAAGTGAAGACTTCGTAATAACGAGTACCTTTTTCAAATTACCTCCTCGACGGTTATATACATGGACATCTCCACAAAATAGCAAAGAAAAAATAGTGAGAAATCAAATAGACTACATTATGATAGCAAAGAGGTATCTTAATGCTGTTAAATGTACTGAGACGTACCCAGGAGCTGATATAGGCTCAGACGATAACCCGGTAGTTACTGTGATAGAGGCGAGACGAAAAAAGATTAGAAGACCACACAGAAAGGCACTAGATTTAAATAAACTCAGAAACAAAAATATACAACAAGAAACAGGAGAAGAAATAAATGAAAACCTCCGTTCAGTGCAGCAACAAATTAACGATACAAATAACGTTAAAGAAAAATTAAATACATAAATACAGCTATACAAACAGCAAAAAAGAAACAACTTACAAAAACAATAACAAATAATAAGGTGTGGATGACACAAGATATGCTAGACTTGATGGAACAAAGAAGAAAGATGAAGAATTACCCAGACAAATACAAAGAAATAAATAAACACATAAAAAGTAGAATAAAAGAAGCCAAACAGGAGGGGATTAAATAACAGTGTGAAGAAATGGAAACCTACAAGAAAAAGTACGATGCGTTTAATATGCACAAAAAAGTAAAAGAGATAACAGGAAGCATAAAGAAATGCCAAATAGGTAAACTTAAAGACAAATATGAAAATCTAATTGTAGATCTAGAGAATAAAATAAAAAGATGGACAGAATACCTGAATGAATTATTTTAAGACGATAGAAACAACTTAACTCAGATAATTAATGCAACTGGGCCAGACATATTGAAAATGGACCTGCTGAAATTCCTATAGAACAGTTAAAGCTTTTGAATGATAAATCCGTAACCATAATATTACATATATTCAATACAAGATGCAGTACTGGTATAATACCTCAAAAATGGTTACTGTCTACGTTTGTCACCATACCAAAAAAAACTAAGGCAATGCAATGTTCAGATCATCGAACAATCTCCTTGATGAGTCATCTGCTTAAAATATTTTTTAGAGTCATCCACAACCGAATCTATCAAAAGTTAGATATCGTATACGATACACGATGGGATTCAGAAAAGGATTAGGTACAACAGAAGCTCTCTTTGCCTTAAATGTCCTAACACAGAGATGTCTAGATGTTAACCAAGAGGTACATGCCTGCTTTATAGACTTTGAAAAGGCCTTTGACAAAGTACGCCACAATCAACTCAAAGAAATCCTGGAAGGTAAGAACATCGACACCAGAGACATACAAATAATATTAAATCTGTACTGGAATTAGCGACCTAATATAAAAATACAAGACCAAACATCGGATAAAATAAAAATACGTAGAGGAGTACGATAGAGTTGTATATTGTCACCACTCTTGTTTAATATCTACATATGCTGATCTAGATATGCTGGCGATACTGTTATGATGGCAAGAACAGGAACAGCGGAAGATCTACTACATCTAGTTAAAAGTATGAATGAGATATGTAATAACTACGGCATAAGGATGAACGTCAAAAAAACCAAATATATGACCTTCAGTAAGAATCCAATACATGACACTAGTATCGCAATAAACGGTACCCAACTTAAAAAAGTAAGCGAATACAAATACTTGGGAACCCTCATCAATGAAACAGGTGACCAAAATCACGAGATAAAAAGACGTATTGAAATTGCCAGGTCTACGTTTATAAAACTGAAAAAATTATTTCGTGATCGTGACATTAGTATTCATCTACGACTCGTTCTACGCTCTCTCTGGGACTGTATTTTTACCTCGACGACGGTGGGAGAGCCGAGTAACGGGTCGTGGTCTGTGCACCGGGTTGGCGCCGGACACCGCCGCTGGACGCTAAAAAAGGCGCCGCAACCGAGGCGAGCAGTTGGGACGCCTTCTGCTTTCGGCAACACAACTACCTACCAACGCTCCTACGGCTACTCAATCCCAATTTCCAATCTCGTCCACCACAAAAAAAAAATTTCTCAATCCCCAACAAATCTCAAGAGTAGTCGACATGTTTTCCCCACCTGTCACCTTTTCCGTCACACGTCCTATTCCAACTCCCACGTAATAGGGGAGGCAGGAGACAAACCTGGTTGTCCGGAGACAACCGTGACAAAACAAAGCCTAGAGGAGTAAACCTCGATAAAAAAAATCCCCACTATCACGGTGAAAGGTATCGTGCCAAAGATATGGGAGATGCGAGGGTTAGAGCATCATAAACGATCCCTTCGGGATACCTGGCGAGCTCCCGAAGTGACTTAGCCTTAGCGCAGTAAGGGCGCACTGCCGCGCCGAACATATAGCACGTCCCCACTCGTTGGAACTGCATGGACTTTACACACAAAAAGAAGGACGAAAACGACGGTGAAAATATATAAGCAAATTAACAATGAAGAAATGAAGATGAATGAAAACGAAAATGGGGTAGAACAGCCGCAAGACGGCAGATTAAGCGAAGCGGAAGAACAAAAGAAATTCGAAGAAGAGATGCTTAACTGGCATAAGAGTCAGCCAAAGATGAACAGGCCAGGTCCTCCAAAACATTTAACGTTGGTGGGAGAAAACATTTTAAGAGAAATCAACAAAAAAGACAAAGGAAAAGAAGAAAATTCAGGGGACGAGGAATTATCAATAGAAATCACAGATGTGGTGGACATAGAGGAAGAAGAGAAAAATTAACAAGGAATTAGAAACTGGCAGAACATAGAGGAAAGTATCCTGACAGCTTCGCTGTTCGACGATGACGACCAAGAAGAGATAAAAAAAAAGAAAAAGAGGAAACGAGACAGTTTTGAGATAAATAAAAAACTCAAGACAGAAAAGAAAAAAGAAAGAGAAAGCGAGAGATACCAAGAGGAGACAGAAGATGAAAGAATACAGAGGAAACGTAAACGAAAGTAATGGATATTCTAAATGGAAAAGGACCCATCGAGGGGGAACAAAAAGCCAAAGCAAGCAAACTAATAGGGGAAATTAACACAATTCAGATTAAGACCAGCCAAAGTAAAAAAAAAATCGGCAAAAGGGGAGGACGAAGAAACTAAGTGTGAGCAATGTAAAATAAAACTACTGCAAGAAAGACAAAGAAAGGAAACAGAAAAAAATAATAGGCGCTTTAAAAAAAGGGGGAGATATAAATAACTTCAATCAAATACAAAAAAAGAAATGGGAAGAAAAAGTATTTGAAAAGACAAAATGGGAACAGGTAAGCTTACAGGACGACGATAACTAAAACAGAATGCCTTATAATAACAAAAAAGGATATAAAATACGGAGGGGTAGAAGACGTGATACGTGCTCTCACGGAGGAAGTTCATGAACTAACAGAGGTCTGCGAAGAAGGAAATGTGGAATATATAAAGAACGGGAATGAAAGTTCCATAGCCAACCAAAGAAGGGAGTGGTACACATATGTGGCCAAACCAAAAAAACAAGGTATGTATGAAATGGCCGAGAAGGACATCAAACGTATAAGGGAAAGGAAAGAGCCACCTGAAACAATAAGGGTGGTTATCAATAATGATATAAACAAAGATGAGGTACGGAAAGCCCTGGAGTTTGTAGGCTGGGCAGAAAACATCGTATGGGAAATCTAAGTAAGAGGTAAAGACATGGATAAAGGCGTAAAGAACGAGCAAAAGGAAGCCCTCCTAATCAAAACAGGGGGCAAATCGTACACGAAAGTATTGAAGGAAATGAACCAAAAAATTAACATCGGAAAGATAGGGGTAAAAGTAGATAGGCTCATAAAAACAGAAGAAGGGGATATACTAGTAAAACTAAACGGCAAGGGAGCCGCAGAAAAACTACGAAAAGAAATGGATACAAGAATGACAGGGATAAATATGGCAATCCGGCGCAAAGAATGTTTTTTTAACATAACTGGTTTGAATCCAGGGGTGACGAAGGAACGACTAAAAAGTGCCATAAAAATGTACACAGGAATACCCACAAATGAAATTGACATAAATACGCTAAGAATAGGTAAACATAGGGAGCAGGTGGCGACCGTAGCCGTACGCCCCTCAAAAGCTGAAGAACTGAGGAGATACAGCTCCATAATTATAGACTGGGTATAATGTCCTATCAGGGAAAGATATACCCCAACAAGGTGCTACAAGTGCCTTCACTACGGCCACAGCGCATATGAGTGCAAAGGTGAGAGCAGGGCAGCGTGCTGCTACAACTGCTTAAAATCGGGACACACAGCAGTGCAGTGGCACTTCATATTGCCTCACCTGTAATGAAGAAGGCCATAGAATGGATAGGATGCAGTGCCCAGCCTACAGAGGGTGGGTTTATGGCAGGGGAGGGGACAGGGAACCCCAAAAGAGTGGGTAAATGTAACAAGAAAAGCAAAAAAGCGAGAGGTGGCTCCCTGGAGAACGCGAGTGGGCCCCTATACAGCCCACCGGCGGGACAGGAAGCCATCTCCCTCAGCTTTTCATGGATAAAGGCATCCAAGTATTATAATATTATACTCACGTTATTTATTAAATGCGATTTATTATATTTATATATTCATATACGTTATTTATTTAAAATTTTTATATATACACATATTTCTTATTTTATTTATATATTTTATCTATACATATATTTTATTTATACTTATTTTATTTACATATATATTTATAAAACTTTTATTTATACACTGATTTTATCTATACTTATTTATTTTTTTATCTTAGTCTATAATAATTTTAAGTTTAATATAAGACGCGAATCCACTGCAGAAGCGACCTCAGGGAACTGAACCATAATGAACCCCAAAGATCAACCTGGTATAAAGATTTTGCAGGTGAACGTAGGCAGGGCGCGCCGAGCTCACGACCTCATCTACGCAAAAGCCTGCAAGCTAAACATAGATCTGCTCATTCAAGACGAGGGAAAAAATGTAGCGGTGCTCATTAAAAATAGGGATGTCGGAGTGCAGAGCATTGCAAGGAGAGGAAATTATTTACTCATTAGGTTGAGGGATTTCTGCCTCCTAGCATGCTATGTATCTCCAAATATCCCTATAATGAGATACGAAACAATCGTTAATGAAATAATGGGTGCCGCTTTGAACGAAAAACAAATACTGATCGCCGGGGATATAAATGCGAAGTCTAGACAATGGGGTTTCCCCATAAACGACAAAAAGGGGAAACTCTGGAATGAATGGATAGCCCAGGCTGGCCTCCAAGTGCTAAACAACAATAAGCCAACCTTCGTACGAGGGGCCAGCCAATCACACATTGACATCACATTCGCAAGCGAAGGGCTATCCAGGAAGGTGTACGGGTGGGATGTACTCGACGATCAGCTCTTTACCTACCACCGATATATACAATTTGAGGTAAAGGTTAAAGGGGGGATAAAGTGGTCGATAGGTACGGTAAAATCATATTTCAACAAAAACAAGTACCTATCGGAGGTCAGAAAAATAAGTGAAGATGAGATTTCTGACCTCGGCCAACTTCGAACAGCTCTACAAAATGCGGCAAAATTGGCTACCGAGAAGAAGAAAAATGGAAAAAAAATCCCCCTATTGGTGGACAGATGAGATAGAAGATCTACGGGAGAGATGCCTCAGAGCTCGCAGGAATTATACGAGAAGCCAGGGCAACCTCGAGCTTAAAGAAACATATAAAGATTTGAAGAAAATATTAAATAATACAATAAAAAAAGAGAAAAAAGAAAAGTGGCAGACCCTGATTAAAGCACTCGACGAGGATATATGGGGTGACGCATACAAAATCACAATGAAGACCTTAAAGCTAATGACCCCATATAGACTCGTCGAAGACCAGAGGATGAGATCAGCTGATCTCCTCTTTCCCAACAAAGACATACAATATTTCACCAAGGTTTTCCCAACCATGCTAGAGGAGTTCACAGAAGAGGATGTGAAAACCGCTGGCCAGGATACGAAGACAGGGAAAGTTCCCGGCCCTGACGGGCTGCCACCAGAGGCAATAAAGATAGTAGCAACTGAGAAACCAGGTTTGATCAGAAGAATATTTATTGATCTACTGCAGAAACAAGAATTTCCCAGGGATTTGAAGGAGGCAAACTTGGTTCTACTTTTAAAACCCGGGAAACCCCCTGATTCACCGACCTCTTATCGGCCAATATGCCTTCTGGACTGCCTTGGTAAGTTCTATGAAATACTTATCAAGAAGAGACTGGAAGGTATGTTGGAAGAAGAGAGTAGACCGAATAGTCGAAAGCGGTGCTCCGGAGTATATGTCCAATATAATAAAGGACTACCTTTCTGAACGATCCGTATACATATCCAAGAAGAAAAAGAAAAAAATGACCGCGGGAGTACCCCAGGGGTCAGTCCTGGGACCCTTACTCTGGAACATGTTATACAATGGGGTACTAGATATTCACAAGCAGAGACAAGGAGTCAAAGCGATAGCATACGCAGACGATCTAGCCCTACTGGTTGAGGATGATATGAATTGGGGCATAACAGAAAAGGTAAATAAAACAATAAACACGACCGCGGCGTGGATCGAGAAAAACGACTTAAAATTAGCAGTAGACAAGACAGAGATAATAATTCTAAGAGAACCAAGGAAAAGGGAGGACTTAGTGTTTAAATGTCAAGGCTCCGAAATAAGACCCCAAAGGACAGTCAAGTATCTCGGTATAACTTTCGACGACCGGCTTACCTTTGGACAGCACATACAAGAAGCATGTCGAAAGGCAGAAGGGAGGACCTTAGCATTGAACAAATTAATGCCAAACGTAGGGGGGCCTGGATCTCAGAAGAGATCAGTTATGTTACAATCAATATTATCGATCATTTTATACGGGGTCCCCGTGTGGCATGAGGTAGTCCAGATGAAGAAATATAAGGACATGCTCTCTAGGGCTCAAAGGAAACCTCTGATCAGGGTGTGCAGCGCGTACAGAACTGTATCTACCATTGCCTTACAGGTGGTGGCTGGTTCTGTACCCGTGCACATCCTGGCCAGGGAGAGAGCCTGAATGTATCTGAGGGGCAACGGGGCGGTTGGTTCAGGGCCACAAGAAAGAGCCAGAAGCTTGGAGATGTGGCAGAGGGAATGGGCAGCCGAAGTCGAAAAGGCAGCCTGGACGAGGTCCCTGGTCCCGGATGTAGTGAGGTGGTATAGGTGTCAACATCGGCGCGTCAACTACTACTTCATGCAGTTTATGACGATACACGGATCGTTTCGGAAATACACCCATAGAGTCGGAAAATCCGGAGACGATCTGTGTCCTGAGTGTGGAGTGGTGGATGATGCGCGGCCTGTTGTGTTCGACTGCCTGCATACCACATAGGGCGAAACGAACTGCAACGGAGCCTGGGATTTCCACTAGGCGAGCCTCACGAGCTGATCGATAAAGCCATCGACAGCAAGCACGATTTCGAACTGATCATTGCTTTTGTCACAAAAACCATAAAGCACAAGGAAGAGAAAGAGAGGCGGCTACAGGTGGACTGACCGCTATATTTATTTATCGTTGTATTTATTTTATTGTATTTTATTTATTCAAGTTACTTTCGTTTTTTACTATAATTTTATCAATACCAATTTAAGCTATTTTTTATTTTTATTTTACCTACACTACTTTTAACTTATTTCGTTTTATCTATTTTATTTACTAATTTATTTATTTTATTTCATGGTAAGGGCCGTAGGACATGGGACGGGAAAAGACTCTTTACATCCAATCCCGTCGAATGTCCAAATACCCCAAAAATTAGTGAATGAAGGTATGAATGCGGAACTGAATTGATGGAAGTACGAATGAATGGCGTTACTGTTAATTGCCAACTGGTTCTACTCGTTAGTTATAATGTGGAAGGGGGGGTAACCAGACTGTCTCGCCGGCATAAGGATTGAGCAGGACGGTAGCTTCACCAGCCAGTCTCGTCCGAGCCTTATGCGGGTGAGGGAGGCCGGGAGGCCGTCAAATCCATGTAATGCACGCAAAGTGCCAGAGGGAAGTTAAGAGTAAGGCTGACGGGCCAGATATGCTTGCTAAGAGCGGTTCCGGGCCCGTTGGTCGGAGGAAGAGGGGGTGGTTTAGTCGATAGGCGGTCCCGTCACGCGGTGAAGCGTGAGAGATTGAATCCGACACACCTGGGTAAAAGGCTAACCCGATCCCAGACGGTCTTTTGAAGATTCCACCTCCCAAAAAAAAAAAAAAAGTATTCATCTACGAACTAGAATGTTAAAATGCTATGCTAATGCACATCAAAGGAAATCGACCTACAGTATATTCAATCAATTTACATCACTAAACGATTAATGGAATTCGCAGAAAATCTTTCGTTGTATTAATAGGCACAGTAAACTGCACTGGAGTTTTCCATAATCTTTTTAATTACTTACTTTGTTTAGAATAATTTTGTCTGTATTATCAGTTAGAGTTAATTTATATAAAATGAGGAGAACAATTTATTTGACTAATAACGAATGTATAACTATAATGGTTGACCTACTGTACAATTATTTTTTTATAAATAACAGTATAACAGTGTACTTTCTGATTATTTAAATTTATAAATCATCATCATCGTCACTAAATTCACTACCTCTATTATTACGTAAATCTATAATCAGTAGATAAATTTAACTATATTTATTTTCTTGGATCCACCACTCTTCTATTAATTTTTCACATGTATTTATAGTTTTGGCCGATATTCCTGAAGTTGCAGTTTTAAGAGCTTCTTGCTACATTTCCCTAACTGCATCGTTACTGTATCCACTGCATCCAACGTGATTACCATAATACGTTTTAAATATACCCCAGATGACTTAATCCCATCAAACGATGGAATATGGGATATGGTGGGTTCTAACGGGTGAACTGTAAAGATGATGTAAGAAGATGGTGCCGGAAATGTGAACTGTGTGCAACCAGTAATAGTGCAGTTGGTAAAAAGAGGGCACCCATGAAACAGTACAATGTTGGTAGTCCTATGGAAAGAGTAGTAATCGACATTGCAGGTTCACTTCCAGAGACGGATGATGGACATAAAAATATCCTGGTAGCCATGGATTATTTTACGAAATGGACTGAGGCCTATGCGATACCAAATCAAGAAGCT